CCTCTGTCCCATGAATGATGACTGCCTTTTTAATGAATAAGATGGTACTAATAAATATATTTGAAGCAAAGCAGAGGCAAAAGATGTCATGGATTGTGTGTGTGTGTGTGTGTGTGTGTGTGTGTGTGTGTGTGCATGTTTGTGTGTGTAGAAAGAGGCTGGAGTGTTTTGATGAACACATAATAACTACAGTCAGAATTTTATTTATGAGTGAAAAATTTCATAGATACCATTCTTGGACTCTGTTTCTCTGTCTTTCTCTTTCTTTCTCTCCTCACCTCAGCAGATGTATTGTTAAATATGTCTCCAAAGCTTCTCCATGTCATTACCAGAGAATGCCATGCTTGAGGAGAATGCTGTAAGTTCTCCCTTCATTAACACTTTAGATTAAATACTGTATAAATATAAACATACAATGATATATGACTAGAAACACAAATGATTACTCTGTAATTTACAAATGTGTAGTTTTTCTTTGTTGCCAGATCTATTATTTTTTTCTCAGTGTCTCCTCTAAGATAGATTTAAAAATCCATTTATCGAACAGAAAAGCCATGCAGCAAAAACATGAGTATCTTTATTATTTTTTAAAGGATAGAGCTGATTGTTATTCAGCTAGGAATCTTTCTGAAGATTAGCTCTATTCCTGAAGCTACAATTTTCACAGCAAAGGCTTTCTTATACTTAAGAATAATTTATCCAACTTCTGTTACAAATATGGTATTTCTTTTCTTATATGTGTACCAAGGGTTTAACAAAGGCTTCTATTATCAGTTATTTTATCAAAATTCACAATCTTTAAAGGAATTCTTGACGCTAATTATTTTATAGGAGGCTTTCCATATATTAAAGCAGGCATTCTGTCTAAATATTTTTCATCTCAGTGAAGGTGTGAAAGCTGAACTGATTACAGTCCTGTTTGATACGGTTGTGACTTATGAGAATCTACTTATCAAATGCTGGCTTCACCAGGATTCCTTCTTTGGTAATTTGTACATTACAATGATAGTATGATCAAGTGGCTTCTCATTAATCAGCAAGGCATAGGTAAACAGAAGGAGGCGGTGAACAAACCCATGTTTCACTTTCATGGCACAAGTGTGGGGCATTTCTTTGCAGAGTTCACAAGCTGCCCTTTAAAACTTATGTGAGCAAGTCCCAGTCAACTTGTGCTGTGACTGTAGGATCTTTATTCCTAAGGTCTTAAACATGTGGGAACACTGCCCTTCGCTCTCACACCTAGATGCTGAAAGTCAGTGTCTTAAGTGTATCTCAAAAATGACTATTCGAAGTAAACACTAACAAGGAACTTGGCTGAAGCACTTATAATCTTTGCTCAAAGCCATATTCTCGGCTTCTGGGAATGAGTGAATTCTCCAGACATGGCCTCTGAGAGCAATGAGTACCTATTTCCTCTTGGCTTTTCTCCCAGAACATGGCTCTTAAAGGAATGGTGATATGACTGCCATTCTTTTCACAATGTGAGGTTATGAGGTTCACAATCACTTCTGATGACCAAGTTGCACTGACTCATTCATTCATTCATTCACTACTCATTCGTTCATTCATTCATTCATTCAATACTCATTCATTCATTTATTCTGGAACTGGATATTGAACCCAGGGCCTTTGCTCTCAGCTACATTCCCAAGGCTTTCAGTGTCACTTTGAGAAAGAGTCTTGTTATCTCCCCCAATTGCCCGGGATGGGTTTGCACTTGCCCCCCTCCTTCTTCAGTCTAGTAGAGTGCTGGGGTTACAAGTGTGTGCTGCCAGGTCCTGCTCTAAATGGCTTTTAAATAGTAAGTAAATCCCATTTACTCTGTAATCTTTGTTTCCAACTTATCTTTATTTAATGGAAACAAGCATTAGAGTTCTGGATATGGTCTAGAAATATGAGCACTGTGTAGGAAGTTCTCATCTCATAACAATTTCTCCTCATGGGGAGAGTTTCATCTATTGAGATTTGGGGTTGCCATTGTGCCCCACTTCTTTTCCTCTAGGCTGTCTCAGGGAGCAGTGGGTGCCCTCACCCTCCTCTTTGATAACCACACTCTAGCTCTTTGGTAACTCCTGCAAAATTTGTCTTTAACCCACGGCTTAAAGTAGACATTTTTTCCTAAATTTTTTTTGGAAATCAGTTTATTGTAGCCTATGAAGCTACAGATATCTTATAGATCACTTATGTGACTAATAATTTACAAGTTTAATTTCCCCGTACTCTTCATGCTGCTAATGAATGACTGTTGTCTTTCCAATTAATTTATTTCTTGACTTCCATAGCTTTAAGTAGACCCATACTCTAGTTATTTTTCTGAATGTATTACATTTTTCTTAAAAAATACTGGGAACTGGTAAACTATTTGATGAGTAGAAACCCATGTTTGTCATGGAGTTCTTTCGTATTAGGGCTTTCTTTTGGTTGAACATACAGAGTTGTAAGTCATTGTCAGGCAACTTTATGTTGTGAAAAGGAAAAGCAATGCGGAAGTTGTCTCGAGCAGTATGATTAAACAATGAAGAATGAATATTACTTCAGTGAAGGTATGTGTGGAAATAAATTGAGAAAATGAGGAAGCAAGCAGTGCACATACAGACTGGATAGAGTGACTATGTAAAAGTTACAGTGTTCAGCAACCAGTGGTTCCAAAGCTGAAATTAGAGTAAATATGGTCTTCTCATTTCTCTCTGATTTAACCCACTTGCCATAAAGAATGGATTTATCCTAGAGGCATCTTATTTTACATTACTACCAAGTCTTAAATTTTATGCCACGCATCTGTATTGTGTACTAAAAATAAAATAAAAAGAAGTACTTAACCTGATAACAACTGTACTTTTGAGAGGGAATAGAACAAGAAGAAATGAGTCACAACTCTAGCCCAAAAGAGATTTAATTTGCCAACTCAGGTAAACAAAACATATCATGTTATATAATTTTTAAAAAAAGAAACAAATATTTTTGAGGGAATTTTACCTCAGTTCTTATGGAAAATCTCTGCCCTACAAAGTTGTACATGTCTCCTGGTTTTTAGAACACACATAACCATGCAAGAACTCCTCCAGATGGAGATCCCGGTTGGCTTTCTATGGTGGGCCACCTGGGGCAGCATGCAGAGCTTCTTCATGTCTCCTAGTGTTTGTTAATCCTTTGGTGTCATACCTATAGCAGGGCTTCTGATCCCACTCCACACATAACTTCTGTCACCTGAAACTGTCACCTCCCTGCACTACATAGGCTTTTAAGGGGACACTACGATTTCCTACCATTTCCCTGTTTCAAGGCTATCTTCTCCTTCTCTCTTGTTTTCCTAAGAAGGATCAGTTTTCTTTCTTCTATTTATAGGACCCTTGGGATAATCTCCTGAAGGAGTTTAAACTTTTATAAGAAGCAGTGAGAAATGTTTATTCACAAAGGCTTCTGCTTTCAATCTGGCAAAAATCCCTAGGCATAAGAGCAACATCACCCACAAGGATAAAGGGGAATGTATTGGAATAGCAAATCCAGTTTAATGTGTTAATAAATGTACCTGCTCTAAGTATGTCTGGGATGTTTAATTATATTCAGAGAAGTCCCAAATCAACTTGTCTGTGAAAAACAGTTGGACCTTTATCAAAAGTGGTTGTGAGACCTTGATGTGAGTTTTCTTGGGAAGACTGTGGATTAGTCCTCCCTTGAAGCCTGTGAAAATACAGAAACGCATTCTGGCTTCCATTTGTCCTCTGCGGTAGAGTATGATGTCCTGGAGCATGGGTTAAATGACACTCAGCATGGCTTTGTCAAGAGTGATGCCTCAGTTGAACTGGCAACCTCTTTTGATAGAGTGAGTATGTGAATATGCCATTTGAGAGTAGCCTAACAATATCATTTCTCAGTGCTTTGTGATGAGGAGATCTTGATTTTCCAGATGATGAGTCCCTTGTGTTTCATCAAAGACCATGTTGAACTTGTCATAATTATGTTTATACTATGTTCAATTCTAGTTCCTTAATGTTAGTGATTGCCATTTTGTGAAGTTTTATGCCATTTTACTAACCTGTTTAGTTAATCCTGTAACCTCACTAAATTCTTTTCATGAGGCTTGCATGCAATAATACTTGAAATTCTTTTCTAACAGGATTGAAAATATTAAACTGCAATGGAGAAGGGAAATAGGAATTGAGATTTCATATTTTCTCAAAGTTTACTTTAATTTTTTTAAATTTTAAAGTGAAAAAACAATAACAAAATAACAACAATGAAGACAAAAATGAAACAGTACAAAAACAATAAAAATGATACAGTATTTCAAAACAAGATGATAGGAATTAACAGTGGCTGTTATATTACATGTTGTTATCTTCAGTGAACTTGCTCAGATTACCAGATGTAAGAATGCAAGACTGATCAAACCATTGAAGAGAAGAACAAGTAATAAAAGAACATTAGAAATGATACAGAGCTGCACTAAAAAAGATGGTAGGAACTCAACCATATTGTTGTATTGCATATTCAAAGTTTACTTTAAATCATAGTCTTCTTCACAGTCATTAAAGATAATGAATTTTCTAAAGAAAGTCAACCTGACCAGAAGAAAGTTCAGTTATTGTATTAACTTCTTAATTTCTCTTCACAACACCATAAATAAACTCTAAGACTACTGTGTGCTCTGGCACATGGAGTGAAGGATAATTTTGATGTTGGAAATGTCCTCCTCCTGCATAAGTGTGAACCTCAGCTGATATAAACTCATACATTCCATACGCTCGCCATCAACACATTGTACACACTATTAATTATATTCTTGGTGGCTCTCATAGGGTTCTCATGTTTATTTAATTCCTGAACAGAACATTTGTGGCTTATGTGGATTCCATTACTTTTAAGTATTTGTTTTATTCACCTTAGCCTATCTTGTTATCTTGGTATGTACACACGAGGCATGATTGAAACAGTGAATGTTTAAATTAGAATATTTATTACAGTGAAAGACACATTTGCTATCAATCCCTCTGAAAACAGTCCCCAATACCCACACCCTTTGAGCATATTTATCCCGTCGTTCTTCCCATTTTCTGAAGCAGTTTTGGAGGTGGATTTTCTTGAGAGTTCTTATGTCACGTAATCAAAAACACAGCGAATACTGCTATCAAATACCACCCAGCAGAGAGGCAGGCTGGTAAGAACATTGCAGAGTGTCCTCATTTACCTGATTGACTGGATCTGGCACCGTTTGACTTCCAGCTCTTCCCCAAAGTCAACATAACCATAAAAAGTAAAAGTTTTGAATAAATTCTAGAAATCTAAGCAGCTGTAATATTGCAACTATAGGCACTTGTGAAAGCGGACTTCCAGAACTGCCTTAGAAGTATGCGTTAGAAGAATGATGGAGGAAGTTTGTTTGACCTAAAGAGGAAAGATTTGGAGGGGTTAATTCCACTATTTCTTTTACTGTAATGATTTTTTTAATTTAAAAATTAACCACACTGTATGATCTCCCCATGTACATATATATTTTTCCCAAATGTAGGTATCTGTCTTAGACATATGGAATAATCTCTTTTATTCAAAAGTGTAAGATGGCTTTTGATCTTTTTGAAGGCATGGTTCATAAAACCACATGCTCACTTTTCATTTCTGGTTTTCCTTCAGAAATTACCTAATTTCTGTCTGGTGTGTATTTCCCACCAAAGCTCTGTCCAAACCAGTGTTTAGTGTCCCAGGCAGTTTTCTACTAGCAAATGTGGGAACCTCCTAAGTGAAAGGTGGGGCTTCTAAATAGTCAGGGTGCTTGAACATTAACATGTCCATGTTTGCAAATCATGTTGATATGACTGATGAACATTACTTGTAAAGTATTTATTTTACAAGTCAAAACTTCATCTCTTCAAATTTTTAAAATTGGGACTCATATCCCTCGCTCCCTGTTTATTGTTATGCTGTTTATTTAGAAGATGTATGTTTTTGAAAGTGCATTTGATAACAATTACGAGTTTTTTTTGAGTACTCACAATGATAAAAAGCCCCAAATTGCAGGACAGTTTTTGTTTTGTACTCTTATTAATCCAATCATAGTATTTTTTAAAATTCACTTATGCAGGAGTTCAGAAAGATGGTTGGTTACACATCCCACAGCGAGGCTCAGGCCAGGGCCTTGATGAGTAGCGTGGGTGCTGCTGCTTCACATAATGTGCGACTCACTAAGTGGGAGGAGATGGAAAGTATCAGCATTCTGTGGCATCACTCAGCAGGTGCAAATGAAGTATGAAATGAAAATTCCCAACCCACACAATACACGGAGAAGAAGCACATAGCACTTTGTAGTCACTGCTGTGCCTGGCTATTTACTGTCACAGACAGCTCAGCTCCAGCTAGGCAAGCGCCCCAAATCTCTGTGACTCTGAGGCCTGCAAGAGAAATTGTGCTTCACTTGGTGCTGCTTTGCTTAGGTCGATTCCCCTCCAGGAGTCTCTGCTGTTCCAGAAGAAAACCAGTTAAAGTTTTTAGAGGTGGTTCCTTTTTCAGACAGAGAACAATGCAAGTATGGGGGAAGGTGCTGTTGGGAATGTGGGCAATTCCCAAAATAGATAAGAAGGTGATTTTCCGGTCAGGATCTACATGAAATTAGCATGCTTATCTTGTAACATTAGAAAATATCCTAAGTAACATATTTACATGATCAGGTTTTTGAGGTCAGTGGGAAACTTACTGTGTATCACTGTTGGTAACTGATATAAGAACAAATAAAAAGAATAATACAATTATACAATTTTCTTAATCAGTTCAGGTCAATAAAAATATGTTTAGAGTAAGATTTTAAAAGCCTAAAATGGGAGTTCACACTAATACTATTTAATTCTTCTATACAAAGTAAAATATAGTCATGTCCTTATTTTATACATCTTTAAAGGCCACCAATCTCCTTTATTCTAAAGATGTTCAGTGCCTTAGAAGTGTACTTTATGCCCATTTCTTTCATGTTACCTCAACCTATTGAGATTTGCTCATGGAATAGGAGACCACTAATCAATTGAAGGTATTTTCTCATTGATCCTTTCCTTACCAAACTCAGTGTCTTTTTGTCTGTGCAGTGTTCAATAATTTTCATTCATTGCTTCCTCAGTATCTATAATTATGGTTCTCACCATTTGGTTCAGTAAGAAACACAGCCTACGTTCACTTTTGGAAAATATAAAATGATAGATGAGATAGAAAAACCTTACCAACTAGATTTCTAACTGATTAGGGTACAAGAAGCTGAGAATAAGAATTTATTGACAATCAAGTTTTTTATTTCTTCCTGCATAGGTCATGATCTTTCACTGAGTCAGAAGCTATGAGGAAAAGAGTATATAAAGTCTATTTGGACACACTGGTTTTGAAACAACTATATGTAACAGACATTGAAAATATAGATTTGCAGATCAGATCTAGGCTATGGTAACACAGTTCAGAATTACGAGTATGGCAAGCTTTTGTATGGTGAATATACATTGTATCTCCAGTAATCATTAAGCACCTAGCTGGGAAAGGTGCTTGATTTTATCCAATTTCTAGATAGTAGCTCTAATTGCATACATTTGCTTCAAATCACTTTCAAGACACATTTTCCCATCTTAAAAGCTACAGCATCATTCAGAAATAAAATTTTAAATTAAGAAATAAACTGTAGTGATTGAAAATATGAAAAAATAAGTATATCACAAATGGGAACTTGAGAGGAGTTTCATCTGAAAGCATTAATTTTCTCTAAAATATGAGATATGACTATATTTGGAGAGGGAGGCCATATAAAAAGTGCTATAACCTATGTTGTTGACTAGTAGGGAAGACAGACATTGTAGAAACACACAAATAAATAGACACTAGGAAGAAGAAAAATACTTTTGAAAAAATGCAAGATTGCACTATTAAGATCTTAAGTAAGACAAGGCTTTCAATTCAGTGGATACCTAAAGGAGGGGGAAAGCTTCAGGCAAAAAGGAGAAGGAAAACGATACTACATCATATCAGTAGAGAGAATTGTGACATTTGGGTATGACAAATATTTTACTGGCTTGCAATTTTGTATTGGCCCCCTTGCGGTGGGATGGGTGAAGACAAAGTCTTGCATTTGCACCTTGGGAGTCAACCACTGCTACAATTGTTGAAAGAAAATGCACATCTTCTCCAGGAATTGCTATTGGTTGATTTCTTGATGATAGCCATTCTAGTGCTTATATTGTTTGATCAATTTTGCATGCCTATACCTTGTAATCTGAGCAACAATTTTGAAGATAACCATATGCACTGTAATAACCATTGTTAATTTCCTGTCATCTTTTTTTTGAAATTCTATATCATTTTTATTGTTTGTTTTTCTTTGTTTAAAATAAAAAAAAAGAAAATACACAACCCAACTTTACTATTCAGGCTCAGTGAGAGACCTCGTGCAAAATCTCAGGACTAGGCAGTCTTACAATTCAACACCTAGGTTTTCCTGATGCCAAAGTGTGTGCTTGATCCCATTGCCCTGGTTGCCTCAAAAATACCTTATTCGAGGACACACTCACTTGCGTGATTCCTTCCTTTTCTCATTTTTTGTGTTTTATTGTTTTCATGTTTCATTGTTTCCAATTCTTATGTTTGGTGTCACTTCCCTTATTTCTCTTACTTTCTCTATGAAATTCCTTTTGTCCAAAGCTTTAATGATGACATTCATACTCCTGATTCATGTGCAACTGTGTGTTATGCACCAACATTATTGTTTCAAATATTTTCAGGAAAAAAAAAAAAACCCAAGTGAACGACCTGATATCACCTCAAACTCCCTATGTCCCAAATTGAACTTACCATCTCTTGGTGTGCCCAGATGACTTTCTTAATTTTTCATCCCTCTGTATATCTTGAAACCATTTCTTTGTTCCTTTACTCTTTTTGTAAAAACAAATCTGTCATAAATCTTCCCAGTGAAATTGAAATTACTTTTCTTTTTCCTTTTTGGACACACTAGTTCAGGCTGATGGAGTTACATGCTGCAATAACTCTGCTCTCTGTGCTCCTTAGAGTTGTCATTATCAAAGACAGAAGCCGTTGCCTGGCTTCCGTGGCAATTCATCATGTTGTTGCCTGCACTCGTTTTTATATTGCCTTGCCACACAATCCTTCACAAGGATTGGCATTCACTTCAGAAGTTTATATAAAACCTATTTGAATAGTTTTTTTGTGGCACTTAGTCTATAATTATACTGTGCCTTTGCTAAGACTCTATAGGTGAGTGGAACATATTTCCTTGCCCTTAAGGTTGGTTATGTGGCTTACTTTAACCAATGAAATACAGGGAGAAAATCAGTGTGCCAGTGCTGAGTGTTTCTTCTTATGGTTCTGAGCTCCTCTAATGTACCAGGAGAAGAGCAGTCCCAGGAAGCTGTGTTTCTTTGCCCAGGATTCTGGAGTAAGAAAAGGACCCTTGGATAAGCCCTGAATTTGACATCTAGAAGCAGAACTGTCCCCAAACCACCTTACATGAATAAGGTGTATGTACTTGCTGAATATATATATATATATATAATATATAGG